AGCAACTGCAGTAGGAGGATTATTATCACTACTACCATTAATAGGTCCATTAGTTACTCTGTCATTAGATATAGTACACTGATAGTTACCAGCTTCAGTTAAGTTTGCTACTGTCACTCTTGTAACTGATCTTGGTCCATTCACTATCACACGAGACAGTTCAGTAGATATTCCATTCCCATTCACTGAGCAACTGACAGTGGTAGGAGGACCATCAGAGACATTGAAACTGAGACTGAAGACTGGAGGAGTAGCTAATCTACTAGTGGAGAGGAGAGAGAACTGCATAGTAGGATCAGCATCAGGACCATCTGTAAAAGAAGCACATTAATTATAGTCTATATTCATCACATACCATTGTTATTGTATCCAGTATCAGTATATGCTCCAACCACTAGTGTTTGATTCACTCCATTCTCATCAGGAATGATACACTTGTATAAACCTTCATATCCTGATAGTCCTTCTCTTCTAGCTAGTGCGATCTGACCACTGAGTCTCTTACTGAACATTGGTCTAGGAGCTGATGGATCACCAAAGGGTCCATCAAATAAAGGTACTTCAGTTCCATTAGGATAATACCACACTCCAATATTAGCACCATTGTTAGCACTCTGACACCACAAAGCACCATTGATATTATTAGCATTATTATTTTTATCAACATCATACAACTGGCTAGCATACATCATAGAGTAATCAGGTATTATCTTGCTATCATAAGGTAGGTACAATTGAATGCCTATATACATCAGGTTAGTCTACTATTGCAATAGTTACCGGTAAGTTTATATTCTTACCATTACTAGGCAGGTTATTAGGTTGTTGTCCTTCAACTCTCAACAGGAGGAAGCCAGCAAGAAGAAGCAATGCCCTCAACATCTTCACTGAATAGACACAAAAATGAACAGTCAACAGTATTCAATTTCATGTTTAGTATATAGTGTGTGTGTTTCTTAATTGCTATCTCACATGTGGAAACATAAAGTGCATGTGTTTACCCCATTAAGAAAGCAATGCCAGTTTGTGTTTCCTTTACAAAGCTTGTACAGTCAGTTTGATAATAGTCGTTTGTTCTCATTCCAAAACATGAACTGTCTTGTGACCATTACAGCATTGATGCATCATACGCTGATAGTGTGTTATAAAGGAATGTGTTATGATACAAAAGTACTTCCCAAAAGAGCAAAAGGCTCTGATGTAAACAAAGATTTTAAAAATGAACACACATGTACATACACTCAATAATGAAATTAGACATCCACATGTACATGCATGATGACACACACACACACACACACCAAATGTTAAGTTGATGTACACAATCTTTAATTGACACTAACTACTTGCAAAAATTGTATATGCCTGTTTGTGGAGATGAGGCTAATTTAAATAATAATTGTTTTTATTGATTTTCTTGTTCTACTTCTATACAGTGTAGTTGTTCTGTGGAGGTTCAAGTGATGACAAGTCCAAAGGTGATTCATATATAGCATCTTGTGGATTTTGAACTACTGGGGGCCTGTTATGTTAGAATTATTAGTTTATATCATTTTTATTTCAATTTACTTACTCAAAGACATCATAGTCATGTTCTACATTATTCTTTAACTTGATGGATCTGAAATACACAATATAGAAAAATAAGTTGATTTGTATTTTTTCTTCTTCTCTCTCCTCTCATTCCACATCACTCTTTTTTTCTCTTCTCTCTATCTCTTACTTGACACTATAAACTATCTTCTTCTTACAGCATATCCCAATTACCACACATACAAATATCATGTTGACAAATAAAGAGATACCCAGTAGTGGTAGAGATATGTATAAAGTTGATGTGTTTATGCATTCATCACTTGAAGCAGAGGTAGGAGATGAAGTGCCTAAATTTAGAAAATAAAATTAATGTTATTTCACATGCTTTCTATTTATTATATTGCTCTGTATAAATTTATAAGGTACAAGTCTATGTTGTTGTTCAATTGTGTACATACATATTAAAACCAAAACTACATACAGTAAGGTAAACATTATTATTAACAGTAAACATTTACTTATTGCTTCTGTGTAAGAATAGGAAGACAATTCCACTGTTGGTAGCTCTGTAACTATAATATTTTAGTATTTGACAGTTAAAGCATTGCTTTACCTGTTGGTGCAGTTCTAGGTCCTTCGTAATCAATTCCATTTATTTCTATAGTCATTGAGATCTCAAATGAGTAACTGAGGCATGAGTACAACTCTGGTATAATAACTTCATTTGATTCATTGCTAACATTCATTGAGTCATCATCAAACCCACTGCTGTAATAGACAGTGTAGTAACTGGCCCCTGGAATGGGTAGCCAATTCATTTGTACAGTAGTAGAGTTGAGATGTATGACAGTGAAATTACTAATTTTTGCTATGAAAGTAAATAATGTTAGATCTATAGCTGTGAATTTGCAATTGAACATTACCTAGATCTATATCACTAGTTGATACAATTTTATCAGTCCATTCTCCTGGTCCAATACTAGTATATGCTCTCACTCCAATAGTATAACTAGTATTAGGTATCAATCCTACTATACTGTAATAAGTGTTAGTAGTGTTAGTTATATTGTATGGACCAGTAATGGTAGACTCTCTATATCTTATCTCATACACTGTAATGATACCATTAGGTATTGTAGGAGGATTCCATGAGATACTGATCTCAGTTAGTGTAGCATTTGTTTGTATTAGATCAGATATCAGACCAGGGACTGTGTTAAGATCATGTTAAACTGATTAATATCTCATGTTGGCTTACATGACTCCTTAATGGTAAATTGTATTTCTCGTTTAGCTGGTCCATTTATATTATAATTATAAGGCATTATACTCACAGTATAGTTAGTATATGGTATTAATCCTGTGAGATTATACATTCTGTTGTCTCCTCCAGTGATATTAACAGTATAACTAGTGTTTGAAGTGATGTTAGTGTATGTGAGGTAGTATCCAGTGATTGGTCCATTCCTTCCATTGCAAGGTACTTCATCCCATGAGACAGTCATTGACACTGACTCTACTGATGAGAATATAATATCACCCACTGGTGCAGTAGGAGCTATAAGAATTAAAGAATAATAATAAATATTAAATTTATTTACCAGAAGACAGTGTAATAGCTGAATAATTTCTAGTCAAATAAGCTGTCTCAGCTCCATATACTCCATTAAGATCAAAGCCACATTGGCTATAAGGAGGTATACCAGTTGAAGTATGTGGTGATGAAACTGATGTTTCATTATTACTAGTGAATGATGATTCACATACTCTCCTACATCTCCTATTACTATTATAACTAATTGGTAATACAGCAGTTGGTGGACTCCATGTTAATGTAATGGTAGAAG